TGCTCTACGATAATGTGCATGTATTAAACATATAAACCTTCCTCTTGAATCCTCTTCTCTATTGGCATTAAAATTCGTTGCTTACTTTAAAAGATCTAAGGTACAAAACAAAAAGGCGACTTATTTTATACTATGTAAAGAAAACTTGTAAACAAACCCTATACCAAACCCCTTGGCCCACGTGGTATAGTAGTCCAAAACCTTCTTTCTAAGGAAGGGCCTTTGTCCAGCAGTCCACTGCTGGGCAAAGGCCCTTCCTTTTGAAAGAAGGTTTCATCATCATATTGCATACACAGTCTTTAATAGTCCACTATTAAAGACTGTGTATGCAATATGATGATGTGCGTATGAAATAATGAAAGCATAAATATAAACTAAATAATATAATAAGGGAATACACTAAAAAATTCTAATTAATTCTTGATATTTCATAATTTAAAGGAATAAGCAAATAAAACAAAATTAACACTTTTTTTTCCTAAAACTTTATTTGGAGTTATTATTTACGTGAAATCCTTTCGCCATTCTTCCATCACGAAGTTCCTTTTGACCTTCGACTAGTATTCTTCCCACTGTTTTGATTAAACTATTTGAATGTAGAAACCTTTGTGTGTTTTTTCAAAATCCAGCTGTTTTATATTCCTCTCGATGTAGTATTTAAAAGGGTGTTCCACAGCATCTCACGCATTTTAAGAAGATGATCTGCTTAAACTGCAACAAGGGAAAATGTTTTTAAAGTACTCGTATATTTAAGGTTCAAATCGTAGGTAGGGTTTAGCTACGATGTAGTACAATTTTTATCATATATATGCAGAGAAATAATTTGTATAAACTGATTTATTACTAGAGTTGAACATTGACCCCCAAATACAGACACTCGCTTAGTTTAGGGTAGCAGCATCATACATTTTATTCAAATACAACACAATGTTCTACCAAAAAATTGTAATGTGTAACGTTACAAGTTATTTAGTATCGTTACAAAGTTTTTTAAAAGTTCGATGATTTGCATAAATTTAGGGTCACGGATGGGGGGCTCTTTAATAGCGATTGAGTCCAGGGGGCCTAGTGGCGTCGATCTCCTTTGAGTTAGCGAGTCTCCTGGCCGGAACTTCACCATGGGACCTGGAGGCGAGAGCCCTTGCGGCTCTGTATCAGTGGCGTGAAGAGGCGCGGTAGTTGGGTCGGAGTCCTAATTCTCAAGAAATCGAGGATCAGAAATCCCAGCTCTGCCAGGTCGTCGTGGAGAAGTGGAAGGAACGCCTTGGGCAACCAAGCGCGGCACGCGTTATTGCGGCGGCAAGACCTGTTATGGAAGATTGGCTCGAGAGGCAACACGGGACCCTCTTATACCGGCTGACGCAGGTGATCACGGGCAAAGGATGCTTCGGGGATCACCACGCGATGGCCGGACCGTGGACACGGCGCTCCACACGCTGGCAGAATGCCCGGCGTGACCTCGTGGCGGCCATGGTACGGACACCGCCGTCTCCTTTTGTGAGCAATTTATGTTTGTGAAGGAGACGGAGAGCGGGACCGGGAGAATAGGTGGGTTTTAAACAAAAAAAAAAGGGGCCTAGTGCGTACGTCGATCGTCGACGGCGACCACTTTCAGCGTTACGATTAGTGAAAACTCCCTGATTTATACATACGTCTAATGATGTTTACCAGTTAGTGTATCTAATATGTAGACAGTTTACAAGTCGCATGTTTGTGTTCACTATTCCGCTCCTAATGGTCATAGCGTGATGTCACTTATTATTTCTTAATGGCTATTCTATCCAAAGCAAAAAATTCTTTGACTTTATTATATAGACGATATAGAAATTTCTACTCATATTTTAGCATAGTACGGTAATTGTTATTATATACCGTTTAACCTGCTTGAACTGTTAGAAAGAAAGAAGTAAATAAAATGGATAATTAAAGAGAGAAACTTTTAAAGATAAAATTAATCAATACATAAATGTAGTTTTAGATTTTTGTTCAACTACATTTTAAATTAATGTACATACCAAATATATAACACATAACTAAGTTGAATAAGGGAGAGACTAATTTCAAGTTAAGCAATCCTAGCCGGTCAGTCTATAGATGGGTGAATATTCGTAACAGACAACAGTCTGCCTAAAGAAAAAAAGGGCTCGGAGGATGATGAATTTAGTTGCAATTAGAAATAAAGTTAATTCGAAAGACAATTTTACAAATTTCATAATTTATTAATGCAGAGATCATTAAATCTGATAAGTTTTACATAAAAATTGACCTAGCAAAACTTCTTTCATATTAGAGACGACAAATATGGCATGAGGGACTTGTGGGTAAGTGCTATCCGAGTTAAAAAATTACAAAGTTAAGAAATCCTAGCCAGGTCAGTCTATGGATGAGTGACCATTTTTAACAAATTGAGACCTCTCCGTGCCTCGGAGAGCATAATTGCAGCTCTAAATCTATCTGTATAACTTCGATATGGCCTAGTACTTGAGTGTGGAGGTTTCATGCAGTCGCTCCGCGTAAAAAATTGAAGTTCAGCCGTATCGTACCGACGTAACGAAAACTATGACTATTTAATATCAAATATGTTGATGTAATGTCCAGAACTTTTCTAGAAATATCTACATAAAAAAGGAAATGGTTGAAATTAACATTAATATGGTAAACATGTTGTTCGGAAACGAGCATCAACGTGAGGGAAAAATATTTCAGAGAAAAAAAACCCGCCTCCACTTCGTTCGGGTACCAGAACATTTAAACGTCGCATTTTTTTCCTTGATGTCTTTTTAAAAGGAAATAATCCCATGATATATAGGATTGTCACCATATTTCAGCAAATTATCACTTACATTAAAGCATAACGCAACCGAACCTTCTCATGAGTCACTCTATCTATTGCTGAAAACCGAATGTATGTTGGGTACGTTTTGTGTTTACCTCGTCGAGACTGATAGAGAGATAGAAGCGACGGGGAAGTTTATTTTGTAATATTTTACATTAATTTGAAATATGTATTGTAGTATTATTGGAATAGCGAGGCACAATATTGTTCTTCTTCTGCGCCACAAAGGACTGTGAACATGAATCAAATTGAAATTCAATTTAATCGCCCGTTTCCAAATGTCCCGTCTTGTGAGAAGAAATCGAGAAAACAAACTCACGTGTACACTTTTAATTCACCAGATATTTAATTTCACATTGAGATTTAACATCTGAAGTTTTAATGAATTTGTAATTAGGATATTTGATTATGATCGGATTATGTCGTTTATAATTTTATTTAAATGTTTTCCAATAAACAATATATAATCTGTTAGTTTTGGTGTTCGACCTAAGCTCTAAAACTACCCGTTGGATTTGAAAAAATCTTTATAGTTTTCGTAGTAGTTCATTAAAAGGGATATTTTTCCAAAGAAACTTTATTTAAAAGACCACTCCCGCACTAGGAATATATTCCTGTGTCGCGGAGAACTTTACAAACATACATGAAACGGACACAAAGAACACCCAGGCTCACAACAATATTTGTGGATTACACAAAGTGTTCTACCATGTTGGGTTCGAACTCATAACACTCAGCGCAGTATGAGCGGCAAGGTGACCGCTTAAACCACTAACGCCATCCGTGCAGTCTTGGATACAGTATCTATTGATGAAGGTATAACGTATATAACATCACGATACGATCTTTAGCAGCGAAACGGCGAGAATAAATGCACCTGATTAAGGCTAACGGCTAGTCTACACAAATAAATAAAATTGAAGTGTCTGTTTGTAATATCAAAATAATAGGTTTTTTGGCTTAAATGGTTATTTGCACGAGATATATATGCTTAAAAACCAGTTTAAATTTTTGTCTGACTCTGTTTGTTCCGGTAATCTTCAAAGCGGTTGGACCGATTTTTATAATATTTTACTACCAATAGCTGTCTCTATAAGGAGTGACTTACAATTTAAAGCAAACGAACCCGATGCCCAATGCACTGCGGTCGCGTACCATACTACACCACTAAGGCAGAGTTTTTCGAATTCCACGCGAACGAAGTCGCGGTTACCAGCTAGTATGTAATAAAATCTTCCGCTTAGTGAAGCTACTTACCTAGAAGGAACATGAATTTTTAGTCTGTGTTTAGGTCATGGTCAGTATCGTGATGTCATCGTCTTTAGCGTTATCCTGTAACAAAAGTATTTGTTAATAAATATAATCGGTTTGTATTTGTGTGTGTGTGTATGTAGTTGTGCGTATGTGTGCTGAATGCGTGAATGCTGATATGTGTGTGTTTTTAATATTTTTCATTAATTAATTATTAAAGCCTTTCTGTGTCATCGTATTCCAACTAGGTAGGTATTATGTTTAATAGTATCTATGAGGATTGAACTTGAATATGCCTATATCTGCGAAAAATTTATAAAGTTGTAATAAATGCCTGCCCTTTGTTGACCATAATGTGTCCGATATAGGAAATAGGAGACAAGTCTATTGACGCCTACAGACATTTTAGACATTTCATGAAAAAAATTGCTTTTGCCTGCCGCTCCGCCAGCGTGTCTGCCGATTATCACGGTAAAAAGTAGCCTATGCCTTTCCTCAAGAATTAAAGTATGACCATACCAAATATCATCTAAATTGGTTCAGCGGTTATTGATTCCCATACAGCTCCTTTTCGTCCCCTTAAAGGATGATTTCCGGGAAAAAAACTACCTTAGCTTACCTTTTCTGGGCTATTCTATACCAAAATTTCATCTCAACCGGTTCAGAGGTTTAAAGAAAGACATGGCAAACTAAATACGCAGTCAGTATTACCTGCGTAGGTCGGTACTAGTATTGCAAATTGAAATTAAGGCCGTGTGTACTTTAATACAAAACTTACCGAGTGTATTTTAATATCTCCGGGACAGAACAAGAGAGGGGTTTGGGCGGTATGAGTGAGCTCTTGTACACCACCAGCGCTCGTCTCTCGGCCGAATGGTGACCGCCGAAGTACGCCAGCAAGTGGCTCTTTATGCTACGTTTTAGTGATGTTGTGGTTCACACTTTCGCTTCCAATATGGGCTCGGTCACCAGTACTGCAGAAAATTAATATATCGCATAACTTGCCTTATGTTGTTTAGGAAGGGGTGTTATGTCCGTTCAACACAATGAGAATCCTCCGAACAGGTGATAATGTTTGGCGGACCGCGGATCGATGGCCGATGTTGGTAAGTTGTTATACATGCAAATCGGCGTGAGATTTTTTAATATCGCGATACAAGTTCAGCAGTTACTCCGTGGTTCGGCGTGTTTTCGTTAGATGGCGCTAAATGTGTTTTTGTTGCACTTTTGTTACAAAATTAAAAAGGAGCTTTTTATAATTTCGTCATTCGTGTAGCCGGACTGCTAATAAAGATACTTATATATTTTTAAATATATACATATTTTAGATTAATTTCGAACAAACAAATTAATAATCGTGCTCATCACACAATATTTTTCCTAAATGCGAATCGAACCCACCCTCTGGCTAACCATCAGGACCACTAACTTCTAGACCCCTGTTGGTCTAACCTAACCCCTAGGGGTTAGACAAAGCCATACATGAGAGTGTCATGACTTACCTTGTGAAAATATCAGTAACAGTACTCATTTTCCCTTTAGTCTTGATATGTCTGTTAGTAACGAGGAGGGAGTCCGCTCCTGACAAGAGAACGCCACACATCAGCTCTTCAATATCTGAGAAACGGTTCAATTCTTCGGCTTCGGTCGTAGGAGCTATCATACTGGATTTAAGGAGCTGTTCCAAATGAAGGTTTGAGAGAGCTGCAAGAAATTACATATGTAACCAAGTATAATCGAATAATGGGTAAACAAGCAGGCAGGTCACCTGATGGTGACTATCATTTTTATTTTTTAAAACCCCTTTCGCCATTCGTGTACTCCCATAGACACCTGCAACTGAAAAGGTACAAGTGTGTTGCCACCCTCTAAGCGCTCCCTCCCCCAAACTGGGGTGGGAGAGGCATTTTAGCCTCCGGTGTAACCTCACTCAGTGTCACCACCCCTTTTCATACCATGGGTTTCGTAAGAGTCGACTAAAGCAGCAAACTACGCAGGACAACAGCACTGCAAAGAGAAGGAAAACTTATAACAAACTCTATACCAACCAGTCTGGCCAGCGTGGTATAGTAGGCTAAAACCTCCTTTCTAAGGAGAGGCCTATGTGAGAGAAAAATTAAAGACTGTCCCTGATGATGATGATGATGAACCTCATTCACAATGAAAAGCACTTTTCAAGCAAAACATAATTATAATCATTAGTACAATAAAGTATCTTACAACGTATATAAGCGAGCCTGTCTCCTCTCAGCGAGTACCTCGAGCAGTACTCGTCACTGGCCGTCCGCCCTTGCTCCTGCATCAGCGACATCCAATCTTCTTGTATGGTGTACAACGCCCAGTAGTCCGAAGTTGAACTATACTTGCGTTTGATTTCCCGAATTTCTATGAAAAAGTAAATACTATATTGCATCAACAATCATTTTTGAGGCGTAAGTTTTTAGGCGATTTGATTATTGGATTGAAGTTGAGACTGAAATTTTAAGGATGCGTCACGTTTAGACACATTTAGTTATATGAGAAAGAAGAAAGAAAAATCATTTATTTTATCATACACTGAGGCATCAATGAAGGGCATGCAAAGAAAAAAAAAATGACACTTAAAACAAAAGGATAAAAGACAAACAAAGTATCATTATACGAAAATACACATATTTATCTATCAGAATATAAAGTTCAGAGTAGAAAGAGAGCTATATCCAGGGCCGGTCCTATGGTGGTGCGAGCAGTGCGACGGCACCCGGCGCCATCAAGGGTGTGCGTTACCCCAGCAAAATAATGTCGAAAATGGTCATTTAAACTTATAGATAATTAGTTGCTCCCCTTCTGTAATTGTTAAGCACATTTTTAAATTTGTTTCACTTAAACTTTTTTAGTTATTTCAAAAAAACATTTCCTGCTGGAGTAACGTTTGAGAGCAATTCTCAAAATAATGCTGAATAATTTTATTTTGACTTTAAAAAAAAATGACAGTACCCTACTTGTTAATGTTTCCAATTAATAAAGATATAATCAAATTTTATTATTTTTTATAAAACTACCTTATTTATTTAATATTTCTTGAAAAAAAATATAAGTTTTGAAGGCAATGGTCTAAAAAATGTTCTTATTACGTTACCGAATAAAATTCGTTAAAAATGAAAACACGTAAAAGATTGCAAATCTTTTTAATAAATTTTAAATATTTTAAATGAAAAACCAGACAGAGAACAGAAAACTTTAATTATAAGATCAATACTTTAGAAAAAATAGACAACATTTTGTCCATTTCGTTACATTTGGAACACCTGCTTGGAAAACATTTTAAATTATTAAGTTCACAGGCAGAATCTCAGTCATTTTTTAATTAAAATTACAAATAAATCAACAATCTATGCTATAACATTCTTAATTATTATAAAAAAAAAGTTAAATTTTAAAGAGAAAAATCAGTCATCTCAATTAGGACAGTAACAAATTAGGAACTTTGGTAACAAAACGAGAACTTATAAAGGCTGAGTATACAATACACTTCAAAACAATGTTTTTATTTAACATAATTCGAACTTAAGATTGAGAATGATGTTAATTAGCTATCTTATAAATTACGAATTTGGTTCGATACAGTATTTTAAAAGAACTGTCGTTGAAAGTATTCATTAGTACAGTAGTACTATTAAAAAATATAATTATACTTATTCTAAAGTAAATAAATCAAAAATCCTTATAGGTAAGTATGTCTAAATCACAAATGGTATATCAAATAAACTTAAGTATTATTTAGTAATATTTTATGAAATTATTATAAAAATTACGCATTGCAAATCTCACGCTCGTCTGGAGTGTAATGATAATATAAGAAAAATCACAATTAGGGCACCAAACATATATATTATCCAATAAACTCTTCATTCTTCTTCTTCTTCATTCTCCTTTTTCTCTCTAAATTTTTTTTTCTGTAGTTATCACATTTTTCTGGATCTTGTTTAAGGCGCTCTCTATAGCGTCTCTGCTTTTCTGCGTTTGTTAATGGCATTCTTGAATTAACTGCAAAGAATTGCATTTACATTTAAAACTAGCTAATAACGATGGTTTTTAGTAAATACCTAACTACGTTAAGTCGCATACCTGGGTTCATTCCGCCATGTGTAGAAAAAGATTAATTAACAACATTTAGTAAAAAATTTTAATATTTATTGAAAGGAACTACTGAAATTTTTTATGAATAGACAGCTCTGTCTCGACAGACGTTGTCTTGTGCACCCGATTGGCAGCGCCGGGTACAATCTCAACCATTAAAATTCAAACTTTCATTAATATCATGAAGATTCCTAGGCAATCACGTCAACTTAAAACTGAAATCTATTGTGACCTCAAAAACAGCTCAGCTGAGAAGAAACTCAGCGAGGGTTTTTTATCAGGGGAATTCAGGAAACCACACTCAAAACCACAACAAAAAATCGTAAAATAGAATATAACCCTAGAACCGATTGAAGTGCCACCTACTTACTGGGTGTAATTGTTAATCTAAGCCATCTACGACCCACTTACATACAAACATACAGGTCAAACTGAGAACCTCCTTTTTTGAAGTCGGTTACCAAAAGAACTACATACTTATAGACATAAAGTAAAAAATGCAATGTAGACTTTGCCTTACGTATTCCTATTTTGTTACTTCATATTCTTCTTATACATAACCAGCAAAAGTAACCAAGAGGAAGTAAAAGAACATAGACTATAAGTTTCATTTCATGTATTTCTACAATAAAATCTAATAAAAACGACTGTATGTAATAAAATATCAAACATTTATTAAACAATTATCTATTCTTAATACTATAAACATTAAAAATTATAAACTTACCCTTGTTAATACAGTTACAAAACAAGAAGAAAATTTTGAATCCGCGAGCACCACACAATGAAACGATATTTTCAAATGAATTTGACAAGTGGCAATGCTACTTTTAGCTTTACGTTTTCTCAAATGTTAAGAGTGCACAGAAAACATAATCTACTAACTTGTTTTTAAATATTTTCCATAAACCACGTAACAAAATAAGAAACGGCATAAGGAACTTTTTAAAGACATGTTATAAAATATATTTATTTTTAAAATATGCATTGTTTTTCGCAAAATTGTATATTCGAGGGATAAATTGATAGTAACAGCGTAAAATAGCACCAAAAAATTTAATGCCAGCCCATAATATTTAAAAATAAAGCTTATGGAAAGTCATACACTGCTAAATGGGACATATCACTCTCCATACATTTGCACACTCAATAGTTTATCTTTTTTGTTTTTTTTCATAAATTATCAATTTGTCATAAGAATGAAAGCAGGAATGTAAACAGTAATTCAGTGATTTTATTTATTTAATTATTATCTTGAACATAATATTTTTCTACCATTTAAAAAAATTAGTCAATTTATGGGACAACACTACAATAATCATTCAGCATTATTTTGAGAATTGCTCTTGAAACGTTACCCCAGCCAGACATTTTCTTTTTTAATTGTAATATTGAAATAAATTTTAGCTAAATAATTAGTTATCTAGACTAGGTAAATGTTACAACTTATTTGGTATTTGTATTTTCTTCGGCTGCGAAGTTATTCGAATCCTGCTGGAGTAACGTTTGTGGGTTTGCTGGATCTCTGAACGGGTAAGCGGATTGAAACCATCTTTTGTACTTCTTAAGGATTAGTTTTAATTTGTTCGACAATAAAATAACAAAAAAATGGACCGTTAAAAAATTATTTAGGTAAGTATGAAAACACTTCAATACGTCCTAACACTTTAAATAAGACCTCTAAAGACTTGAAACGTTATTCTATTGCTTGAAATTTAAAAAACCTTAAAATGTATACGAATTTTCGTAAGAATACTGTAAGTGACTAAAAATTTTATGATGAAATGTAGCTCTCCACGTTCCGTCACAATCTGTGCGGCCTGTTTTGGCCACCGATAAACCTGTGTGTGGATATATAAACTGAATGTTATGCCAATAATTAGTTGTTTAGTTCAGTTGTCTACCTGAAAAAATTTCAGCGTAATACATATAATAATTTACGAGAAAATTTAAAATAAAAGTCATTAGAAGGTGCAAGAACCGTGGTAACCCGACCATGTTTAGGTGGTTACAAAAAGCGATCACCCAGTACATTGTGCTGGCTTTTAAAATATGTGGATATTATTTGCAAGTTACTAACGGATATGTACATAAGGGGTTACAAAAACTACATTTTTTTTTAAATATTTTTTATTTAGGATTGTTTATTGCATAATTAGTAATCAGCCGGGAGATTAGGATTGTTTTGAATGCTTTTGTTTCTCGTAATGTTTAGGTGAATTGTTTATAGTTGTTCATAAAATTTGGGGTACCTGCGTAGTATTTGTTAATTGAAGTTTAATTTAGGTAGGTGTAGGTAATTTAAGAAATATGAAATAAAATGATAAGTTTTGAAGAGTGTAACGTATGCTTTGTAATAGGTATTTTGTGAATAGAGGGGGCTTTTTTTAAGTGATGAAATCGACTTAGGCTAGCATATCGCGAACAAACTCTGTATTGCATTTTTCCTGAAATAATGTTGGAGAAAATAAAATATTTGATCAAAAAATCGCGGTGAGTTAAATTATAATAAAATAAATTATTTATGTAAAATTAGTAATAAGTGATATACCTACCTAAAAGTTATGATCGTTTTATTTGTTCACCCTAAACGAAATTTCAATAGTAGCATTAGTAATTAATATCCTAAGCCCAAGAATTGAAAATTCTTAAATTGAATCGAATTAGCATTAATGCCTATTATTAGTAATTAGGTACACACATTTGAAGAACTCTCAAGAATACGTTAAATATTTGCAAAAATAGAAGCGGAAGCGCACACGTATTTTACAACACGTATATTATCTGCCTAAGGGTCAAGTTTAGTGCACTAGATGCAAATTGCAAACAATGAAGTATCCCTTCGCCCCTCCCCTCCCGCGTTTAGCGAAGGATGTATTATCAGCGATTTTTTGATTGACAAATATTATCTGACCAATAATTTTATCTATAAAAAGTATCACTTTCACTCGATAAATTAAAATTTACCTTTTATTATATCAAAATATCATTCAACAACTGTTCTTTTTTAACAGAAATCAACAGTCACGGGCTCACGCTTAAGGTAGGTACATAGGTATAGATAATTCTCCGGTTCTAGGTATAGACCACAGAACAATATTACCTACTCTTACGGATATACGACTGCTGGCGATGCAATGTTGATGCTTCTAATTTACAACTGTATTCTTCTACTATTCGGTCTGATTTTAACTTATTGTAGATGACTTGTTGCTTTTAATATTTTGATGCATTAAAGTCTAAGCTCTATACAACCCCAAAATAAAATAAAATTACTTTAGTGTTTATTTCTTTAAAAAAAAAAAATAAAAGAAATGAAACGATTTCTTATTGGTTTAATTTTCGTTTTATTGCAGTCAGGTAAATCGTTCATACATGTATCTACATTTTAAAATTTTTTAGCGGACCATGCAGATTTTCTGTTGATTGTAGCTCCGGTAGTAAAAAGACTAAAAAAATTTTAAGAAAAGAAACTAGTGCTTAAGATCAATTGGGGAAAAAAAAAACAAAATAAAATAGGTAATAATAATGAAAATATTGAATGTATTGAACACTGAAACGCAACTGTACCAAAATCGTAAGGTGTATTACACTAAACTTTTTTAAAAAAGACAGCGCAATGTACTGGGTGATCGCTTTTTTGTAACCCCCTAAACATGGTCGGATTACCACGGACTTGCACCTTCTAATGACTTTTATTAATTATCTCGTAAATTATTATATGACGACGCTGAAATTCTACAGGTAGACAACTGAACTAAACAACTAATTATTGGCATAACATTCAGTTTATATATCCACACACGGGTTTATCGGTTGGCCAAAAAAGGCCGCACACATTGTGATCGTGAACGGGGGAGAGCTAACATTTCATCATAACTTTTTAGTCACTTACAGTATTCTTACGAAAATTTCGTATACATTTGAAGGTATTTACAACATAGAAAACGTTTCAAGTAAGTCTTTAGAGGTCTTATTTAATGGTTAGGACGTATTGAAGTGTTTTCATACTTACCAAAATAATTTTTTAAACGGTCCATTATTTTTGTTATTTTATTGTCGAAAAAATTTAAAAACTAATCCTTAAGAAGTTATGTACAAAAGAGGGTTACAATCCGCTTCCCCGTTTCAGAGATCCAGCAAACCCAAAACGTTCCCCCAGCAGGATTTCGAATAACTTGGGCAGCCGAAGAAAATAAAAATACCAAATAGTTGTAACATTTACCTAGTCCAGATAACTAATTATTTAGCTAAAATTTATTTCAACATTACAATTAAAAAAGAAAATGTCTGGCTGCGGTAACGTTTCAAACGTTTACCCCGCAGGAAATGTTTTTTTGAAATAACTAAAAAAGTTTAAGTGAAAAATTTTAAAATGTGCCTAACAATTACAGAAGGGGAGCAACTAATTATCTATAACGTTTAAATGACCATTTTCGACATTATTTTGCTGGTAACGCACACCATCAAGGAGGCGCCAAAATCAACCGAACGTGATAGGCTGTTTATACGCATGCGAGCCTCGACAAGTGTCCACAACACCAGCGTGAAAAGGGAGAGCTCGGCTCGATTTTGCAAGTCGTCGATCGGTACTAGTGTGGGTTTTTTAAACACAGATAAAAGAAAGCTCGCGGCAAGCGTTTGCAACGTACTTACACGTTGGCGCGTGCTTTTTTCCCTACTGCTCAATTTTGGGATATTACAAGTATTGTATTTTGAGCAGTCGGAATCAACTTTAAAAGTCCCAATGCTCTCTGATTGAGCAGTTTAGTTGAGCAGTAGGGCTAGAGATTTCTTTTTGCCGTCGTTTATACTTTGAATGAAAATATGTCCACGTCCACTGTTTGCCTGTAAGAAACATAATAGCACACTCGAAAGCGAGTAAATGGCAATGCAAGGGTTTAGTTTTTTTGGGACTAACCCCACCCACACGCCCACCACTGTAACTCCTGTACCGTAACACTGGATCCACAGCCTGACCCACGATACACCGAGTTATGATACTCGGGAATCCCAGGAAAAAAATAAACTGTCTTGGAACCCGCAACGAAATTAATCAGAATAAAATTTGGGGAGTTGGAAATACAGTAAATCCACTTCCCTGCTTAGTAAAGCGGGCAAAGCCTCAGTGCTAATCGTCCTAACTGCCTTGCACAAGAATATCAGTGAAGTCGTAGGCCTTGTAACAGTTTGCGAAGGACAGCGCCAAGGGTTTGCCCTATCGGCCCATACAGGTGTACCATAGCGCATAGAACCTAAATAAGTAGCCCCGTATATAATCTTTAGTGTATTAAATGATAGACCCCATGTCGCAGTTGATATCCTTGTCAAGCACAGAACTCTTTTAAGACTTTTTAATATGTTCGATAAATGAAGTTTCTTTCTAAAACTAATCCTAAATAACACAGTGAGGTTTTATTTTATACGTTTACGAATTTAATGCTCGGCCGGTGACTTGAGGGTATCTTTAAAAGTAGCTAGAAGGTTTTGTAAGGTGCAAAAGTTAAAGCGATTACGTTCACCCCAATGAGATATCAAGTTCCAAGAGGTTTTTGTAAAGACTTTGAGCTTATGTTACACGCGTGCCAAGGCTTGGCAAACTGGCCGTTTGCTAAGCCTTGGCACGCATGAAAAACTAGGCATGAGAGAAACAACTCGGGGGACTCTTCACGGGTCAGGGGGCGAGCCGCGGGACGAAATTTCGTCCGTCACTTGTTTCGCTAGGAAAGAATTGTCTATTGAATTGTCAATGAAAGTTACGTATTTAGATTATTATAGAAGAATTAAAATAGAAAACAGAAGTAAGTATATAAGTTCAATCAATACTAATGTATTTTGTAGCACTACGATAAGAAAATATTCATTTACTCATGAAAGCGCACGGCGAGATTACACACATTTTAGATATGTATATTTTGTCTAAAAGGAAATGTATTTCTCATTCTAACTCATTTGGTTTGTTTTAAAAAGAGTGCCACATTACATTTGGTAACGAGGATTTAATTAACATCCTGGAGGTGGATAGTGGAAGTTGTCAAGTGGTTATGAGTAACCCCTTTCGAGTTTAACTATAACCGCCTTATTACAAAATGCAGTTAGTTTTAACTCCGATTTGAACAGGATGGTTTTTAAGCAATTATTGCTTCAAATCACTTTTCTCAAGTTCTGTAAACGGATCTGGATTATAAGGCAATCACGTTTTGTATTAAGAAATCTTCAAAACCACCCCGACTTTTTTTTTACGTGTGGAAACTAAAACGCAAATGCCATCCACATCGGCTTTACCGTAAGTAATTTTTTTACCTTAAGTTACTATTGAGGAGAAAATAAATAATTTATTTAAATATTATTATTTTTCATTTGTCCACTACATCACATATAGTACTGCCTACTGGTCAAACGAAGTTTTCTACGATTGGACATTTTTGATAGCCGTATTTGTTTAATAAGCAGGGGCCGCTGCTTATTCTGAGGGAAAATAAAGCAACTGCTTAACATTAAGCGTTTTTATTTAGAGGGGCGCCAGTTTTAAACCCTCGCACCATCTAAAATTTTTGAAGGATCGGCACTGGCTATATCGTATCGAATCATCAAAAGGGATTCATACTCGAAATGATTCGACAAGTCTGGTGCCTTAGCTTTAAGCTACCGTTTCCACTACCGGCTATAAATAATACACTCGGTTTTTCAGACCCCGGCTACGTTCGCATTAATGTAATTTGAATCAATAATTTAGGTAGCCCCCGAGACAATATTTTTTCTGAAACAAAGGTCCCCCTTTTCGGTACTGTTGCTAACGTGTATGTTATTATTTAAAACAAACGAGTTTATATTCCGAATTTAGAGTTTCAATTTAAATTTTAAGTGTACACCACTTGGAGTATTCCTGCGTAATTTAAGTAGACGAAAACGGTAAATGAAATATCTGGTCAGATTTACATGTGTGTTGTGCCGGGAAATATATCATTATATGTGTGAATTGTTTTTTTTTGATAAGACAAATCTCACATTAGGAATATATCCTGTGTCGCGGGGGACTTTACAAACATAGATGAAACGGACACAAAATACACCCAGACTCAGAACAACAATTTGTGGATCACACAAAGTGTCCCTCCCGTGGGGGGGATCGGACCCACAACACTCGGCGTAGTAGCAAGCGGCGTGGCGACCGCTTAAACCACTACGCCATCCGTGCATTCTTGTTTCTTTATTCAAACATTTTCAAATTATCATTGTTTTCAAAACCATTCTGCGTTATTAATTTAAATGGTTTATTATAGTCCAGGTAGTTAGTACTACTCAGCAGGCATTTCGCTGCCCGTGTACATACCTTCCCGTCTGTCGGCGCGTTCAGGAACAGTTCCGTGTTGGAGGAGCAGTGCGCGGCCGTGGTGCTGGCGGCCACCACGTTCCGAGCAAAAGCCGAGTGGACCCCGGCTGAGGCCTATGCGGGGGTGTAGCGTTAACGACGAAGTAGACCTCCGAGGCGGGTTAGCTGTTCCTGAGGTGTTAGCGCACCTGTAGAAATATCAATATACAGGTGTTAAGAAGATAGTTTCAAAATTTAAGAGGATTATGTGTTTAAGTAAATCTCACCGATTTCTTTAAGGTCGCTAACAGCAAGCTTGATCGCCTTATCGCTTGGTGGTTCCGGCAGCTGCGAGAGGAACTCCGCTACACTTTTTATCTGGGCTTTTGACTTGCAGTCCAGTACCGTTTGTTCTAAAGGTATTCTGAAATTAACTGTACAATAAATATCTACCGACCTATGAAAAGTTTAAAAAAACCTTAGAACTCGGTCATTACGAACCAATTTGGATGTATTTTTATTTGTAAACTATATATATGGGACTAATCCCACCCACACGCCCACCACTGTAACTCCTGTACACCAGGATCCACAGCAGTGACCCACGAACACACCGAGTTATGACACTCGGGAAGTCCCAGGAAGAAATTAAACTGTCTTGGAACCCGCAACGAAATTAATCAGAAGAAAATTGGAGGAGTTGGAAATACAGTAAATCCACTTCCCTCCTTAGCAAAGCGGGAGACAAAATGAAGTAAAATGGGCATACACCCTTTTAAACAGGGAAGCACCACGGCCACAAATATTACGGGTCCTACGTGAGCTATGTTTGATTTCTATAATATGTATGGCAGAATCGCCTAAACGCACGGAAATTCACCCTAGTTGACACAAGATCCCCATAGTATACCGCCCCAGATGTCACCTGCAAGCTATTCAGCATTATATTACGTTCATTATACCAAAGACTACATTCCCAGAGGATATGATGAGCAGACTGTTCATAGTGAGAGTTAGGTGTTGAGCATTGACACAATGGTGACTCGACTAATTTAAATGAATAAAGCTTGCTCTTAAAGTTACCATGACCCGTAAGAAATTGAGCGACACAGTGATCTACCTCAAGCCATATCCTCGACAACCGTTCGCGAACAGATGGAAAGAATTGGTAAAGATGGCGCCCCTTGGATGATTCATCCCAGCGTTGTTGCCATTCGTCCTAATGAGGTCATTTTAGACATCGGGCTGCTGTTGAAGCAATCTTGTAATTTTACCGCGATCCCGCGCGCCCAAAAAATCGCATTCCATGTTTTGTTGTCTTGAATAGTACATGGCTGCACGTCTCTGCACCTCGAGATCGACCGGAAGGCACACCCGCCAACACCGGCAAAGGCCTCAGTGCTAACCGTCCTATATGCCTTACACAAGAATATCAGTGCAAGTCGTTGGCCTTGTAACAGTTTGCGACGGACAGCGCCTACGGTCGCCCTATCGGCCATACAGGTGCACCATAGCACATAGAACCTAAATAAGTAGCTCCGTATATGATCTTTAAATGTATTAAATGATAGACCCCATGTCGCAGTTGATATCCTTGTCAATGCACAGAAACTCTTTTTAGACTTTTCATTAACTATTTTAATATGTTCGATAAATGAAATAGTTTCTTTCTAAACTAATCCTAGATAACACACTGTAGGTTTTATTTTTTACAGTAACATTGTCAAATCTAATGCTCGGCGGTGATTTGAGGTTACCTTTTAAAAGTAGCTGGAAGGTTTTGTTGGGTGCAAAAGTTAAGCGATTACGTTCACCCCATTGAGATATCAAGTTCAAACATCTATTGGCTAATCTCTCAAGCCCCGCCCTAGTATCGATTCCACCAGTAATAAGCCGTCATCAGCATACGCGTTCAGAGTACATCCGGATGGTATTGGTATCGCAAGAAAATCGTCGAAGCCGATATTCCACAAGTATGGACCTAGCACCGATCCCTGAGGACCATCCCATTGTAAGCGCCTTCGACACCAGAATGATGACCAATGTCTTAGTTTAGCTTGTACCTGTGAAAATACACGACGATAAGGGAATAAAAATATTTTTAAAAGCACCCCCGTGATTTTAATTTCAGCAACAGCATGGGCCACCATGCGTTGTCGAAGGCGCCAGAGATATCTAAGAAAAATAGCCAGCACGTATTGAAATTTTGACTCTGTGACAAACTTCTAACCGATATAACAGCGTCAGTTGTCGATTTACCCCAACGTAAATCCAAATTGTCTATCATGAAATTTGACTCCACCTGGCAGAAGCCCGGGGCACTACAAGACGTTCTAAAAGCTTTCCTAACGATGGTAAAAATGTGATTGGTCGGTAGGGTTTAGGGTCCCTCCGGTGGCTTGTCGCCACTTTTTGGTATTATACGAATATTACCGCACCGCCATATACGAGGAAATATTCCTTCAGCAATGCAACGTTTAAAGACAGTGAAAATCGTGTCACCCGAAAGTTACAAGCTTCTTTTATCATTTTTTTTAGATATTTTATCATCGCCCGAAGCCTTGTTTAGCGGCAAGGATCTAATGATACCGAGAAATTCGTCTGAGATGGTAAATCAGACATTGGAGACAGTGGTGGTTTTGATGGCCCACTGCCCGATCTGTCGGTGATGATCAGCGTCGTTTCCGGGCGATCGTCAGGTACGAGTGAGTCTAAAAGATATTCTGCTGTTTGTTCTACTCCTGTGGTATATCTGTTATTAATTTTGATGTTCTGTAGTATGCAAGGTCGATTGGGTCTATTTGCCTTAAATTCGTGATACAAAAGGGGACCACGGGCCCTCTCTATCGAGTTTATCAACAAGTTTCTGAATTAAGTTTCCCTTGGATTTTTCCACACAGCTCTGTGTGGACCTGGAACTCTAAGAGCAATGAGAGCATGTTGTACAAATCTCCTGTTACTTATATTTTTAATAGTGTTTAATTTTCTACGAGCTTTCCGGTAGCTTCTACGTAGTTCGGCTAATCTATCATTCCACCAATCACATCTACGAGTGTTAGTGATAGATCCGCGACCAATAGTTACATCAGCGCAGTATGTAAAGTTTCTGATAATATTTCTGCGCTTTCCTCAGCTGATAAACTATGCGCTGAAGTCTTTGGTATGAGTTGCAAAGAGTGAACCAAACAAAGCCCAGTTCGCACCTTTAGTTTTATATCTAAAATTATAGGGAGCCCTTTGTGGATCCTGTGCCACCCTTGGTATGAATTCGTACACGATCAAGCGGTGATCACCCACAGGATGCGTCCGGAAGGACACGCCCTCCGGATATCGAGACGTCGCCGCGTGTAAGCGTCACGTCAATAGAAGACTCACCCATTGGGTTGCAAAAAGTTGGTGGTGCATCGGGGTATTGTGAATAATAAGATTCATTTCCGCAAGAAATCTTCAACCGCACAACGTCGAACCGTGACGGTTGAACGCAACTTGCCATACCATAATGAAGATGACGCTTGACATCAGCGCCAAAGATAATTTTATGTCCCACGAGGAACTGCAAGAAAGTAACGTAAGTGATGTAAATGAGGATCAATAGGATGTGAATATTGAAAATAGCAGCTCACTACGTAAACCTTACAGGTTTGAGGAGAGATCTCAGCAACGGCGCAGTGTGACGTCATAAAATTACGCAAAGATGTTACCGTAAAAATTTGAACTTGCAACATATATCCCAGCCTGCGAACGGCAGTCAACTGTACTACATTACGACGCAAATGAGCGCTCTGATATTGTTTTTTGTAAAAGGACAATGGTCTAACTTTTGTTCTAAAAATTAAACGGTCTAACTCTGTGTAGCTATTTTTTCGTTTGGAAAATTTATCTGGCCTATCGAAATATTATTCATTACTTAGTAAGTTACTCTTTTAACCTTTTTTTTTTTTTTTTTTTTTTTTTAAACTAAGTTAAACTATTCAGTAATTGGTATTTAATATTAGCTGTTCCAGTTTTAATTTGTATGTGGCAACAGGGCGTTGAGCCGCATCGATGGTCCCGATGGGTTTTTTGAACCGCTTTCACTGTGCGCACGTGGGCTTAAAAACTGGTGTGTCCTTTATTTGGACAGGCTCGCGTTTCGTGGGCGGCGCCAATTAGCACAAGTAGGGGTTTTTATGGTGCAAAACTTTGTACATGACCGAATTGCTGACATTTAAGCAACGAAATACTTCTATATCGTCTATGAATCTACATGTGGCCCAGTCTATATAAAGTTTTTCTTTTGTTGGGTAGATGTTCCGAACTGCTGCCTCTAATTCTAAGCCTATCCATTGACGCCCATTTTCTAGTTTACGATGCCTAACAATTTTTGGGTTGACTTAATAAAAAACTTTTTCACTTAAATTTTATTCGTCCTTGATATTCTGACAATAATAATTTTATATATATATATATATAAAATTTTATAATATATATATATATATATATATATTTTAAAATATATTATTATTATTATTTATTTATACCTTTAGAACAATCCAATATCCCCAATGTGCAGTCAATATAACGCAATTTGCTCTGAGGTGGACATTTCTCACAATAGTTTATAATCTGTTCATAAGTCTATTACTGAAACTATGTGCCCACAATAATGTCTGTATAATTTCTTAAGCTTTCTTCCTTTTTTTTTATTTAGGATCTTTGTGTTGTTATTTAATCGAACCTTAAACAATTATTTGTAATAATAATGGAGCTTAAGTTTATTATGTGAATTCTTTAGTCTGTTAACATACTCATTTTAAACTTTTTAATAGCAGTGTTTTACCCGAAATAAAACACACATTAAATACTTACCTTATTTTAAGCTTACTAGATTGAGATTTGGGGTTCTTGACTTCCGCTTTTTTTTCCCTCTCTTTTGCTCTTTAGTGCTATTTATATATGCTATCTCTTTTCGCGCACATGCTTTCTCCCACCAGGTGGCGCTGTCCCAAGACAGCTTAGGCTCGTAGAGTTTTATATTTCATTGAGTCGATAATCTACACCAGGTAGAATTAGAATGTAAGCTTCAAATAAGGTAAGTATTTAATGTGTGTTTTTTTTTCAGGTAAAACACTGCTATTAACACTTGACCGTTATTTGAAGCTTACTAGATTGAGACGTGTCTGTTATCACCTGGTGGAAAGAGGACGCCAATGTGATATTCATATTATTTGTATAAATGCAGTAATAATCATATGGGTTATTGACCTTAATACATTTATTTAACAAATTGGGGAAAATGTACTTGTTAAATTTAGAAATAGGCCTTTTAATGGTTGGCAAACCCCCTGTTTACAGTAAAAACGGGCAAAGGGGTTTTGAGATTTCCAGTTACCCCTAGCAAGTATTTCATCTAAGGGGGAATTGTTAAGCCAACTCTTAGATGCCAAACCCCTGATCGCAGGGTAACCCGCTGGAGCG